GATCCTCAGCACCACATACCAACAAAGATGTTGTGTCTGCCGAGAACTAAAAAATAAATATTAAAAATTCTCTCTCTCTCTCTCTCTCTCTCTCCCCCCTCTCTCACTCTCTTTAAAAAAAAAAAAAAAAAAAAAAGATAAAGCATAAAGTGGCCCTGTTACACTCCCAAAGCAGGACAGTCCCTTGCTGCTTCTCCCCGTGTCAGGAGGATCCAGCCTTCTAAACACTCGATGCTAGGTCCCCCATCTGTGGCCATCGCCACCAGCCTCCTAGGTCCTCCCGGTCACTTTCTAAGGGGTCCCTGTCTCTGACTATTCCACCCAACTCTTTCACGTGGAAGTCAGGGTGCAGTTTCTAAAGAGGAAATGCCCTTCTGTCTGTGTGTCCTGCCGGACTGCCATCTCTGGTGAGGGACTTCCTGGGTGTTGTTCGCCCCTGTGGGCCTGACTCTGGCACGTGCCTGGCTCGGGGGACTCCACAAGTTTGTTCAACTAGTGCCAGGGGACGCCGTCTGCAAGAGCACCTGGCCCGCTCCCCCTATGTCTCCTGTCCGCAGGAAGAGTCCTGGGTTCTCTCCCACAGGACTATTCTGGGACATCCAGAAAGGTTACATCAAAGGAGTGGCCCAGCCCCATGTCAAACAGCAGAGGAACTGAAATCAGACCCAGGATTCTGTTCCTACAACTCACCCAATATTGACTCTCTGCCTTGGTTCATCTTCAAAAATGGGAACTACGAGGGGCCGACAAGGTCATCAGGGTTAAATGGTTCACAGGGCACACTGCCAGGACTCCCACCAACTGGCGACCGTGAAGCCACCTACTTCACCCCAAAACAGTAGCACGTGTCTCCACTGCCTCAGAACTCTTACATACATGCTCACACACGCGCACACACTACCATTATAACACGCTTTACAATGTTAACTATAATATCATGACATCATCCAACCACTGTTTACATCTCTAATTGTCTCATAAATACTTTGTCAGTTTTTGTTCTGAACATCATCCACATAAGGTCCCTGTGACTGAGGGGGTATTGGGACCCTTCTGACCCAGAGCAGTGGTTGGCAAACTTTCATTGAGAAAACTAGACATTAAGCATTTTAGGCTTTGGGGGTCGTGTAGTCCCTGTCACAACTCCTTAAACCCCTGAGTGTGCTGTGTATCCATAAAACTTCCGTCACGAGCACAAGCAACAGGCCAGATTCAAGCCCCAGGAGACATGCTGCCATCCTGATGTACAGGCTTGGCCAGACTCAGGTTTGATTTTGGGGGCAAGAACACGTCACAGGTAGCACTGTGAATTTCCATCTTGGGTAGGTCCCTCCTCCCCTGGCCTCTCTTTGATGCTCAGTACCTAGATCCATTAACTCACGAGGGTCTGCAATGGCAGTACTCTAATTCTAGCCTTCCTTTTTCACTTAGTAAAGAGAACTTTGCTGTTGTCAATTATTTGGTTACGTGAAGGTGTAGCTTGTACAGCAAAGTCAAGAAAATAAATGTTCCATTCTTCCTCTCTCTTCGCCAGCTTTTAAAAATAATGAGTTGGTTCCCAAGCATTCTCAAAGATAATCAATGTACTTTTAAAAAGAACATTATGAACAAATACATTTCAACATAACGGACGTGTTTTGAGCCACTGTAGTTACTGCTTTAGTGATGGGTACATTGTCCTGGTTTTGCCTTGGCTCTTGACAGAGTCTCTGGTAGCATCCTTGATTCCTGCTGTAAAGAGATGTTCTAGGGTCTGCTCACTCCGCTTAGGAACCCAGCCTTGTTCAAGGAACTTAGCTTCCTTCTGGTGGGAAGTGAAGTTTAAAAACCCTCATTTCAGCCAGGTGCAGTGGTGCATACCTATAATCCCAGTAGCTCTGGAGTCTGAGGCAGGAGGATTGTGAATTCAAAGCCATCCTCAGCAAAAGCAAGGCTCTAAGCAATTCAGTGAGACCTTGTCTCTAAATAAAATACAAAAGAGGGCTGGGGATGTGGCTCAGTAGTTGAGTGTCCCTTGAATTCATCCCCAGCACCCCCTCCCCGCAAAGCAACCCTCATTTCAGTACTAGGGATGTTCATAGTTTCTGAATTTCTCAGGAGACATGGTGAAGACCAGCTTTCTTACAATATGAAAGACCTCAAGGACACATACTGAGACCTCCAAATCAATTCAGGACCTCAAACAAGTCTCTTCAGTCTTACAGTGGTAGCTCATTTCTCCCAGATTCCTATTTCATCTGGGGCACATCAACATATGGCAGTTCTGGACCCCTGCCCCAAACCAGGAGAATGGGAACTGGAATATCTAGGGAATTGTTGCAGGCAAGACCCCCCCACACACACACCCCCAGTAATGCTTAACAGACATGAAGTTGCAAAAGTAGCACAGAACCTGTTCTAATATGGTCACAAAATGAGTGATATCACCATGTACCAGGGACTCAATCTTGATAAATTCCATGTACCTTTTACAAGACGTGTTCTTCTGAGGTGGACTGATTGGGTAAGAACAAAGATTGAGAAATGTCCTTGTCTCCTGTGGACCTGTGGGTGGAGCTTTTTAGGGGGAGGAGGAAGTTGATAAGGAATGTTGAGGGCACTTTCAGGAATAGTGACTAAAAGGGGAGGAGATGGGGCAGTGATCTGCAGAGGAGTGAGATCAAGACAGGTTTAAACGAAATAAGAAGTGGGAACTTTCACATGTTCAGAGGCTCAGAGAAGAATCTACAAGGCAGGCAGAAAATGGAGTTTCAGAAGGTAGAGAGCAATTTGATAAGTTTCACTGGCCGGCAGGGGCTGGGGTCCTTTTGGAAAGTGGGGAGCTACTGGGCTAGACAAGAAGCAAGAAGCCTTGAGTTAGTCTGCCAGTGTAAGAACCAGGACCAGACCCTGTTTACCTCTTCCTCCCAGTCGGAGGGACAGTGCCTGATGCAAAGGTTTCATCCATTATGTCACCAAAGACATAAGACACAACAGAAAGACAGTATAAAACTGTCGTTCTCAAAGAGCTGGATCTGGCCCTTCCGGGGGGTCCTTTGTCTCAAACTTATTTTCATGATTACACTGAAATATGGGCCTTTTTACTCTCATTCTTCCAGGCTTCAGGACAGCTGAGGACTCCAAGCCTAGATGCAGAAGCGGCCAGACACAGAAGAGATTTGCCAAAATGTAAAATAATGCCACTCTTTTCAGTTATTCTTTGGAAAATAGTGTCCATTAAAATGTTTGTTGTGTCTCTGTGTGATGGTTTATTATTGTTATTTTATTTGGGTTAGTTTGCAGGGGTAGGGGAGTGGAGTTACCAGGGACTGAACTCAGGGGCACTCAACCACTGAGCCACATCCCCAGCCCTCTTTTGTATTTTATTTAGAGACAGGGTCTCACTGAGTTGTTTAGCACCTGGCTGTTGCTGGGGCTGGCTCTGAACTCTCAATCCTCCTGCTTCGGCCTCCTGAGCTGCTGGGATTACAGGCATGCACCTCTATGCCCCTCTATTAATTGTTATTTTAAATGAATTATGACACATTGTTAAAATTTCTGTTTGAATTCCTAGTTTGAATGCCTATTTTGGATCATGTAAACCAAAGCTCTTTGGGGCCTTTGATAATGTTTAAGAATGTCAAGAAGTCCCGACACCGAGTTTGCAAAGAGCTCCTATGACAGGAACTTGGTAAGAGCCAATGAACACCCACAGAACACCCCAATGCTACCAGATGCCAGCTCCTCTGGCCGACAGCTAGGTATTCCTCCCAGGAGTCCGTGGTTTGCCCCTCAGGTTGGAGGGGAGACCCTCCCTACCCAAAGCCTTCCACAGACATACTCAAGTCCAAATGTTCTCCTTTCAAGGAGGGAGGGCTTCTAACCGTAGACTTGTTTCCCAATGGAGCAGGGAGGTCTGCTGCTCCCAGAGGCTGAGAGGAGGAGGAAAGGAGGAGGAGGAGTCTGGGGTACTGCCAGGACGGGAGGGGCAACTGCTCTGTCCGGCACTGTCTGTCCATCAATACTATGGGAAGAGAATTCTTTCTTGGGAAAGGAAAAGGTTGATGAAGGAAAACCAATGCTCCCTCATGAAAGGACTGCCAAACACCCCTCGATGCTCACACCTAGAAGGTACAACTACTGTTTCTCAAATCCCGCCAGCAAGCTAGTCCCCAACAGAGACCCAGAATTCTGACACCTTCCTAAAAGCAGTCAGTTGAGGAGACCCAATAGACGGTGGCTTTGGCTTGTCTTCTCCCCTGACAAGGCAGCTCTGCTCATCCACACTGCCTGTGCGACTCCTTCCCCACATCTTCAAGGGCCTGTCCACCTGCACACCTCAGTCATCCCCTACCATCAAGGGCTCAGGAATGTTCACGCTCCATGGACTCTGGAGTTTCAAGTACAAACTCTAATTACACTTGATTTCTCACAGATTTCCCTTGTGCTTTTTAACTATTAGAAAGCAAATGTCTTTAATATTGGGCTTATACATCACGTAACCCTTATATCAATGTCCTTAATAAATTCCATGTGCTTTTCACAAGGTTTATAGTCTTCTGAGAGCTCTCTGGATGTCTTTCTGAACCCTCAAGACTGGACACCAGGGAGCATAAATAATCATTTCTTTAAAATTGTACCTCCTTTACAACCTTGAATTTGAAATGTGAATATATGAATATAAAGGTCTGGAATAACTATGCAGATTTATGGGGAATTTCAATTTAGGTTATATCACAGGCTCCAACTTGGCTGTTCTTTGTATAGCTGGAGATTTGTTACAGTTGGGCTACGGTTTGGGGAAAATGTGATTTATAGTTAAAGTTATCTAAAAATCAATACAGTTGAAGATTTCTGACATAAGGGTCCTTTGCAGAGCAAGATGTGATGCTAACATTGGGAAGACAGGAATTAATATGGAAGCTAGAGCAGAGTGGCTGCAAGTTTCCCTGGGGCGGTAGCTTGGCTTCCACCTCCCCACTGTTTGAAGATGGGCTTGTGTGTTTTTTGAAAACAGCCAACATAATTCAGGTGGAGGAGGCAGAAAGACTTTTCTATTCCTTGTTTCGGTAGAAATCAGTAGCTTTAGTTAGTGTAACTGTACCCTCTGCGTTCAGTATCTAAAATAAAATAAGCCTCATTGCTTGTATGAGAGCATTTCTGCAGATTTGGCGTCTAGGGCTGAACAAGTTATAAATTAGGTAATCTGCCAGGCCAGGCGGCAGGAGGCATGGGGTTTCAATGGCAGGGCGTAGACGGGCAGCCCTGATTTTGGATTCCGATACCAACTTACTAAATGAATTGAAGGGACCCCTGGGGGAAGTGGGAGAGCACTCCTCAGTAGGATCTCCTCTGCGTGAGGACGAGCTTGGGACCCAAAGCCCAGACTCAAAGCCAGTGGCGGGCGCCAGCTCCCCAGCGGGTAGTGCAAGGCGCTCCAGGAGAGGCGAGGCTCTGATCGGCAGCGAACGGCAGCCCAGCCCCCCACCCCAAAGGATTGCAAAGCTCTGGCGTCCTCGCTTCTTCCCCCAGCGCTCCGCTCTCCCAGCCTCCGCTCCCGCACACCCCGCTCACGCGCCGCGAGGAGGAAAGAGGAATGGGTAGGAATGGGGGCGGGGGAGTCCGCGCTCGGGAAATGCCCCGAGAAGCTGCCGGCGCCGGTGGAGATGCACTTGGCGAGGGGGAGCGCAGGCTCCAACTCGCTGGGAGCCTCGCGGCTCTTTCACAATTCCCTGCTCTCTTCCTTGACCCCCAAGTCACCCCAGCAGCCCCCGCCGCAGAAGGGTAAGGGGACAGGGCGGGCTCGCTCGCGCGCGGGACCCCGGGGGTATTCGGGCCCTCGCTGCCCCTTTAAGGGTTCCTGAAACTTTCCCTCTGATATCAGATGAGCCTCGTCACATCCGTTGGCCGCAGCCTCCCGAGCGCTTTCCGAGGAAATTCAGGACTCGAGTTTCCCGGGGAAGAGGCGCGGCCCGAGACCAGCGAGTGGGCAGGACCCGCGCGGGGGCCCTCGCGCCCCGCT